TTAAATTTGTTATTATATGCATTGAATATCATTTTTCTAAAGAGAAGTCTAGTAACTGCCTCTTTAGTATAACAATTACTTATATTAAATAAATTAAGGTTAAAAATAAAACTTATTGGATCCAATGTGAAATTTTTTTGTTATAAATAAAGAGAAAATTCAGTTGAATTAGAAAATCAAAAAAATAAATATAATAAATAATAAAAAATAAAAATCCAAATAAACAATAACTATAACCAGCATGAACAAAATCAATATTTTTTACATCTTGATCGTCTTCTATGCTACATTAACCACTTCAATGTTAATTCCAATCAGAGAGGTCACTAAAAGAGCTCCTGGTGACGAAGTTGGCAAATTTACTCAATGTACGGGCACCTATCCCATCACGTTTACTGAAGTAAGCTACACTCCAGCAATATGGGAACCTGGTAAAACTGTCACTGAGCATGTTGTAGGAGATAGCACTGTTCCGATTGAAGATGGAACCATAGCAACTTGGAATATCTACTTGAAGGATAAATTTTTATTTTCATTTTCAGCTGACTATTGTATGCTCGCCGCTGCACTAGACGAGCCATGTCCAGTTCAACCAGGTCACTTTGACAAAACACATGAATGGAAAGTGGAAGAAAGCCCATTTCAACCTAAGGACATGACTGTTGATTATTTTGTAAATTCTACTGGTAAGTTATACCCATCTAACTTTATTGTTTTGTTTATTTCTTAATTTTGCTTGGAAACTGACTTTTTCTAATTAATAATATTTACTATTTTATCACCCAGTTGTCAGTAAGGATCAAACTGTTTTAGCGTGTTTAGAAGGCACAGTCTCAATAAAATACCCTTAAATATGTACATTTTAATTTTTTTTTAAATAAATATATTTACAATCAAGCTTTATAATATTCGATAATAATAAATGTAATGAATATAAAAGTTCTTAATCTTGACCTTGATTCGATTTTTGCGTAAATTAATCCTTTTTTAAAATACAAATATGCGGGTTTTTGAAGTACCTCGCTTATACTTGCTGCCCAAACTCAAAAGGCAACTAAAACTAAAATGGTTTACTGCGTCAACAATTACAAAATTAAAGATATTATGTCCCAATGTATTTATTTTAAATAGGTAAGTCATATAAGGAGTAACAATAAAAAGTATAATAAGTTCTGACAATTACTGTATAGTAATAATTCTTAATTCAAATGCCGTTAAAAAAGAAACTTTGGAATTATAATATACAATATTGATGATGAAATTTTTTTATTTTCTTTCTTTCCTTCAATTTAATAATTGAGAGAAAATGAAGAAATTCTAAATAAATTAATTAATGTTTGCTATTTAGCTTAGTTTTATTTATCTTTTAGCTACTGGTGGTTTGCAACCATCACTACAGCGAATAATTCCAGAGTCGGACACCAGCAGCGTCAAACAAAAATCGACGCTTTTTTTGAAGTGCAATTTGGATCGGCAAGACGTTCTTACGATATTTTCTTGCATCCTTAACGTCATTCCGTATAACTGCATTTCAGGAGCTATAGGATGGAATTTTGTCCCCGTCCTAGACCACCAAGAGCTTGACAGCATGTTAGTGTTGGTATTGATGTCGATGTAGAGCATCGAGTAGTTGTATGTACACAAGTGGCAGTTTTTGTTTTTTTTTTTTGCAACGATCACAATTTTCATTACGATTCTTCTTATGATAGCAATTATTTTAAGCATTATGAACGGAAGTGGGATGAGACTCACAGGATTTAGTTACAGTTACTGTACAGGAGATAATTTTAGTAATTGTTCCATGTTTATTAGTAGCATCAACAATAATAGTCAATGCCAGAAAGCATGAAGAAGAACGATCAAGAATGAATTAAAAGTTTGGTGATTCATTATTGTTATAAATTACGTTTACGAGTTTAAAATGTATGAATATTAATAAAAAAAAAAGAACTCGCTGTTATATACGATGCCCAGAAAAAAAACCATAGACTTATTCATAGTTTTTTATTTGTTCCGATTTTTTTTTTATCATTGCCTGTCAAATTACATTATTATTATGATAGATAACAATATTTGTAATTAATTATCGTTCTATTTATTCTTGATCGAGGACTGATTTTGTTATTGTTGTGCTAATTACATTTAATTTTTCATTGTTGTTTGTCATGAGATGATTATTTATGTGGCAATAAATGATACATAGAGTTTCCCTCTATTCGTAGAATATACTAATACAGTCAATATTAGCCATTTTATTCGTTTTTATAAAATATAGGTATTGTTACTTTAATCAATATAATATAAATCAATAATTATATTTATAATCTATATTACTACTACTATGGTACAGTAACATTGATGAATATTATATATTTAAAATATTAAAAAGATTTTGTAATAGAAAAAAATTATAAGTGGATTTATATGGAAAATTTTTTGTAATTCTAAAAATCGACATTGAATAATTCCTTGATTTTATATTTCATTGAGCTCCATATCATCTCATCCTTCCATAATAAACCTGACTTTTGGAGCTTAGCACAGTTTTTTTAAAATTTCATTTCAATAGGATTTTTATTTCTTCACTAGTCCAGTTTCTGGATCCATTTAAAGACGGACCATCCCATTCTGGTAAATTTTTTTCTTCATAATCAATGTTCTCAATTACCGCCTGTACTACAATAGTTTGGGCCTATAAAAATAATTTTTGTCCAAAGTGTTTTGGCAATTTCGGCTACTAAGAGAGATAGTTTCAACCAGAAACCTTAATCACCACTAAGCAGAGTTTCTTTTTCATCATAATCAATGTTTTCTAACTCCGTAACTACTACTTGGATTGCAACAGATCCTTGGTTTTGTTCCACTTCCTCCTCTACTTCTTTTTCATTATCATCATTGCCAATATGTTTTTTCCATTAATAGTTGGTTGTTACATTACCATCATTAGCATAGTAAGACACTGTTGATGATCACAAAAACAACTATTTCATTGGCCAAATTTTTGTCGATCTTATTCCAAATGTGTGATACCATTTTAACTTTTAATTTGACTTTTGACCCCTCATGTTGAAATGCTTCAACTTTTAGGTTTTAGTTTTGACTTTATGTATAGCCAAAGAAAGTAAAAATAAATAAATAAATAAATAAATAACTTATAAAATCATTTGCTTGCTAAATGGAGGTTGTGGAAAAAAGATAATGTTATATTAAATATTTTCATTTATTGTTTAGTGTTAATTATTTGGACATATAATTTTCATCATCATCTGTCAATCAATCACCTTCAATAGACAATATTGTAAACATTCCAATGTTTAAACGGTTTATTTAAATGAATTAAGTAATTTAATTATTGTAAAATTACAAGTTACTTTATTAACTTTCCTTTTTATAAGAAATACATTTGATAAATATAAATGTAAATAATAATATAAACAATAATATAAATTAATCTTAATAAACTTGTCGATCTATCCGGGTGATTATAGGACATATAGGACATAGACAATAATAATAATAAAACGACGCGAAATAAATGAATGTTACAAATAAACAAGCTCACAACTGAGAACGCAATGTGAGCTTTTGCTGTGTTACCAATCATGTAGACCATGCTACGCAAGAACAAAAATTCATTTATTTTAAGTTGTCGGGTTTGGGATTGCATCTTCTTTGTCGCAAAGAGCAAAAAATGACATCACTCAGGCCAAGACGGTACTCTATTTATTAAATCCAAAACATATAAATAGGACAGCTGTCCCTCACATTTTTTTTGAAAATTCGAGTATTTCATGTAACAAAATCGGATTTTAATCTTTCTCATAATTGATATATTACAAACTAGAATGACTAAAATGCGCACAACCACCGTTTTAAAAAAAACAATACTTACTCTTGTCATGTTCTCTTTCTTTTTGGCTTGTGTCAATTTGAAATTTACCAATTAAATTTTGGGGTGGTGTTTGAATACAAAATTCTGATTGGTTAATTTGAATTTCACGCGCGTGAATTTCAAATCGACGCAGATTCCAATTTCACGCACAACAGGCTCAAAGATCTTTTTTTTTTAATATCAAAGAAATTTGAAATGATTAAATGGTAGTTTTTGTAGTAAAATAAAGATGTTTGATCCGGTTTTATTTTTGAACAATTACAATCTTATTTGCAAAACAAAATTATAAATAAAACTTCAACCCTTGAATTCAGATATGATTTTT